TACTTAATCTTGTATAAATTGGACAGTTATGTCATAGGTCATAGCTAGTAGAATAGCACTGATAGTTTTTCCTTTATTCAACGGGAATAACCAGTAGCTTGGCCCTGTTCGATTGGCTACAAAAACAGCCGATGCTGATGTTGATTTGTTGTGAGAGAAAAACACTATTATTTCGCTAAAACGGTACGGCTGATAAGTTCAAATGAATAGGGCATTACCGCGCCGCTAGTCCATGGTCCGATCGACACGTCGCTTTTTCATGTCTTGGACGAATTTCTAGTCCACTTAAAAAACCTACTCTCTTTTTTTACCAAAAACAGGAGATATTTTCCGGGTGGCGGAAATTTATTCCGCCCAGAAAAGTCAAGGCAGGGCGACGCCGTAAACGGAAATCGATCGATGGAGAAAAAACGTCTGCCTGCCTGCCTGCCTGCTCCTGCCTTGGCACGGCCCAAAAGTCATGCACGTACGAACGCGCACGGTTTTTTTCCAGCCCTGGGCGGTAAGAAAGGAAGAACGCGCCAACGGTGGCGGCAGGCATGAATGGGCGCCGGGGCGCATTAACGAGGACACCTTGCTCATGCACAACTTGCTGACGGTACTGTTCCTAGTTTGTCTAAGCTGGTGGGCCCAGGAGCTTACACGGAGAAGATGGGTATACTTGTGAGCTTTATGCCTGGATGCAAATGACTCTGCCAGAGCAATGGCGGCAATGATATGTGGCCGCCTTTTTTCCCCTTCACTTCACGCCTAGGTGAGTCTGAATAGTATTTTTCTCTCACACTAAACCCATCAGCAATACTTTTGGCTTATAATGAAAGATCGTTTGAGCTGAAACGAACAGGCTGTTGGCTGTCATTAGCGCATAATGGTGGTGGAGAGGAAATACTAGTACTAAAATGCAAATCAGGTCAGCAGCCAGAGCTCACGTGCGGGCGCACCAGCACGGCGAGGGAAGAGATAATAATATGGCTCCGTTCGCGTGCCGTTAAATCCAGTTCGATCCGTTTCTTTTTTCATTTAGAACAATATTTTCTCTTACAGATTCCTCTAGATTCATCCAGATTCCTCCAAATTTCTCAAAACGAACGGGGCCATATGGAGAAACCCATGGAGATTAACAACCTCATCGCGAGGATTAGTTTAGCCACGACCATCAAGAAGAGAGGAAGAAGGAAACAGGGGGCAATAATTGCTGTGTGAAAGGAACAGAAAGTGGCGTGGCGAGAGGGTGGTGGTGGGTGGTAGTGATACGGATACTACTGCTGGTCGCGGCACGGCAGGCTGACGGCGACGGGGCGGCCGCCCGGGAGAGAGGAGGCAGGCGCGGCGGTGTCGCGGCACGCGGGGCGCGGCCTGCTCCTGTTCCCGTCGCCGGGGGCGGGGCCTCCAAAATCTCCAATAAACAAGTCCCCACTGCTCCACTTCTTCGGTAGCAAAGCGGGCGAGCCGGCGAGGCGAACAGTGGCAGCATCACGTCTCGGCATCTGCACCGGGCCATCCCCTCCACGATTAGTTTAATTCTAATACTCTCGCTAATTAATCCATCGGCCTCCTCACCTAATCGGGATTAATTTAAACTAAACAGCCCCGTGGCCGTGCGTAGCGTCCGGCTGGCGCCAAGGCCTAGGCACGCACATGGCTGCAGCGGGCAGCGATCATCCTAGGAGGACCGGGCGGGCTGTCTCCTGTGCCCTCGCAGCCGCGGCCGCAGCTCCCCCGGCCGGCCTCGTCGCCCCGCCCGCCCTCATCATTACCGGCTCATTACATTAGGCTGGATTAGATTAAGATTAGCCACGATAATTTGCCTCCACCACCACCACCACTGGCGTGGTGCCATTTAAAAAAATATAAAAAAGTTCCGTCTCCCGAAGTGAAGACCTAACCTGGCCTGTGCTGTGGGCCTGGCCTACCAGCACCACGGCCGGTGCGTGCTGGTGCTGCGTCCAAGGAGTCAGAGGCGGATTAGCCTAGCCGATTAGTATAATAATTAACGGATTAATAATGATTACTCTGCCGGTTAGTTACTGGCCGTTCCTGCCCTTTACTTTTGGCGCCTACTTTGAACAACACCTCCCCTCACCCCTGTTGCAAGTCGGCACGGCAGAAGATGGATCGGATCGGATCCGGTGGCACGGCCAGGTCGAGTTCACTGTTCACCTAGGTCGTCATAGGCTGGGCAGCGCTGAATTTACCGGAGAGAGAGAAAGCGAGAGTCATTGCTTGAGCTATCTTTCCAGCTCGGCAGACAGTGCCACGTAGGAAAGGGACACGCACACCAAAGTCTCAGTTTTTTTTGGAGCATGTAAATTTCAAGCTTGGACAAATCTGTATAGAAAAATAGTAATATTAGTATTATATCAAATAAAAAACATTAGGTTAATCATAAAATGTAAACCTATGGTAAATCTATTTATACTTTAGAGACATTTGATACATTTTTCTATAAACTTCGTTAAATTTTAAAAATTGGATTGGTTCAAAAATAGAATGGTATTTTTATTATGGAGGGAGTAAGACTTGAAGACGAGACGACCTCCAGCCAAGTAGACAGCCATGGTAAGCTCCGTCACCACGCTGCCTGGACTTGGACTCTACTCCTGCAGTCCTGCACCCAATTAATTATTTTTCCTTTGCGAGGCTCGCCTGATTAATTAGTTAATTAATTAATTAGTGCTACGCGCAGGTCGATGTCACCTCTACTTATGACAAGAACGATAATGGAGACGGCCCGACAAAGCTCTAATCCCCCTGTAGAGCAGACACTGTTCTCTTTTCCAATATTTTTTGTCCTGGATTTTTTTATTTAAATGCAGTACCGCTAGTGGTACCCGCAATTCAGCGAGATCCGCATTTATTTCCGGAGGAGAAATAAACCACGCGGGAAGAAAAGAAATTTAGTCGACGGAGTTTGGTCTGATTTGGTTGGGATTAGTTTTGACCCGATGACTGATAATTCCCACGTCTCCGGGCTCCGGCCGGCATGGGGCCGCCGTTGGTGTCCAATTTGCAGCGCGGGAACGGGAACGCCGACGGCGACGGCTTTGTCGCTGCCGGCGGATCCTAGCGGCCTCGGCCGGGAGGCGCCTTCCCGCCTTGTAGCTTGCTGTGCTACTGCTACTGGGCCGCGCGGGGTCGTCTAGATCACCATCGTCTCGGTGACCGCCAGCGCTTGCATCGTTTTCCCCCCCTCCTCGGTTCCGTTTGAACACTTCCGGCCGTTCGTTGGTTAGTTTTTTGATTTGATAAACTCGGCTGGTGCTGGTTCGTTGTGAGAGAAAAAATATTGTTAGCTGACTGATAAATCCTGGCTCAAACCCAGGCCCGTCCTATGGGGGGGGGTGCAGCCTGTGCGATGCCCATGGGCCCATGAGGCTGGGGGCCCATGAGGGTACCCATGTGTATACTGTATAGTAGATGCTATCAGCCCATATTTCGATGACAGTAGCATCAGCTAAAAGAAGCTTCTCCAAATTGAAGTTACTGAAAATTGTTTGAGGTCAACTATGCTACAAGAAAGATTAAATGGCTTGGCTATGTGCAGCATTGAGAAGGATATTTTAGATACAATTGATCTTGAAAGTGTTCTTGAAGATTTTGCATCAAGAAATGTCCGAAGACGTTTTTTTTAAAAAGCACTGAAGCATCGTAGTTTTATTTGAGGTAACCATCATAGTTATTTTACCGTTTTTTTATCTTCTTTGATGTACTGTTACCTTTTCAAGAAAAATTAAATATATGCTACAAGTTATATACTTTAATCGTCCTATTCAATATTACATTACCGGACCTTAGTGTCTTACTGGTCGAGGGCTCATAAAATTTGTGGGACGGCCCTGCTCAAACCAGAAGCGAACAGGCTGTTCGTTGCACGCTGCATCCACGGCTAGCTAGAGCTAGGCTAGCCTAGCTTCTTCTCCGTCTCGTCTGGAAGAAAGAAAGGAAAAAAAAACTAGCTTTGCTGGGAGCCAGCTGACGAGCTCCCTATGAACACATTCTACCTGAGCGCGAGAGCGATTTCCCACGGTTTCCTGAACCACCGAAAAGTCTGGGCAACCTTAGTCATCTCCGACGAAAAAGGCTCCTAGGAATATCTAGTATAGTACTGGTAGTAATGGTATATGGTTGTTGCTAGCACAGTGTGTATCAGACAGCAACGTGAAAATGTTAACTGACCAGCCACGGTTTCCAGTGCTACGTTTCTTTCCTCGTCTTTTTCCTTGTGAACCAAAAACGAGGCGTGAAAAGTGGAGGGTCTCGGGTCTCTGGAATCCACACGCAAACGCAGCGCAGTGCGGATGAGAGGAGGAGGAGAGGTGGGATGGAAAAGGAAGGAACGTTCAACCCACGCGCGTGTTGCTGGTCGCTGTCCGCCCCGTCCCGTCCCGTCCCGTCGGCCTCCCCCGTGTGCTTCCCAGCAAAGCTAGTTCGAATCCGGAGGAACAAGGGAACAACCAAGAGCAAAAGTCACGGCACAAAACGCCACCCCTGCCAGTTCGAATCCGGCCAGATGTCCAGCGTTACATTTATCACAGGAAGTAGTCTGAGACCGTTTCCACGGAGCGCCAGAGCAAGAGGTTAGGCGAACGAGGCGAGCAGAAGGACACGGACAGCTGAAACAAAGCTAGCAAAGCAGTGTCTGAAGCTGTGAAAATTGCAGACATTACGGAGGTTTTCCATGTATAGGGTAGTAGTAGTACTCGTACGCAGTGCAATACGATACGAGTTGAGTAGTGACGGAGTGAGTGAGGCAGAATCCAGCACTGGCGTGGTGGGCCCGGCCCAAGAGTAGACCGGGCATGAGAGGAGGACGCGAGTCAAAGCTGCTGCAGCACCAGTGCACCAGCATCGCCCACCCACCGCCCGGAGTCCGGAGCTGACGGCACGAGAGGAGCAGGACGGTTGCGGAGAGACAGACGCCGACAGGTCGTGGCGCCGTGTCGCACGCCCGCCCGGCCCGTGCCGCTACAGGGCGCGTCGCATGGTACGCAGGCACGCCGATGGCGACGTGTGCGTGTGCGCGGCCCGCGACCCACCCGGGGGCCCCCGCTGCCTGCAGCGCCGTGCACGTACGCCGCGACCGCCGGTGGTATGGTATGGTACCGGCACATACGCGCCCCGTCGCTGTCGCTGTTTCCGTAGTGATGGCGGATACGTACGTACGCTCCGGTAGTTATGATGTGATCTGATCTGATCTCCCTCTCCCTGGCCTGCGATGGCGACGATCCGATCGCCGCCCCGGCCCACCTCTTGCCTGTGCTGCACGCTGCACGCACCCCCGTCCGTCAGAGGACAAGGGAGCGCGGACGGCCCACCGCCGCTGTGCGGCGCTGCGCGCGGCCCGTGCAGGCAAGGCCACAGGCAGGCGGAGAGAAAGCGCGCGCAATTGCGCAAAGCACAGGACAGGACAGGAGCGTACACACACCACGTGGTTTCATCGGTCGCCTGCCTCGGCGACCGCGAAAAGGGGCTCGCGGGCCGTCCTCCGTCGTGACGTACGGCCCGACAGGCATCTCGGCCTGGAACACACGTCCCCGACGACGGTGATGCTCCTGGCCTGGCCACACGGACCACGGGCACGGCATGAGCAGTTGAGCACGAGAGGCGAGGGTGATCTGGGCCGTCCATCCCGGGGTCGGACGGCCGGGATGTGGCGCGGTTCCGTGGGCCGTACAGGCCGCAGCCTGGTGGGTGGTGGGTGACCCAATGGGCAGACATGGCCGAGACCCGAGGGAGGGGGACTCACGGGTCTTCCTGCCTGTCTCTCTCTCTGTCGCCACGCTGCCGCTGGCCGGCCTGCTCTGGCTTCGGAGCACGCCGTCCTTAGCTTGGGCCCTCATCCTCGTGCCTTCCTAGGGGCACGCCCATGCTCTTCTGCCCCCTCTCCCTCTCTCTAATTATTTCTCTCTTCGTATATGCTGTTTTCTCCTTCTGGGCAGTGTACCGTATATCCCTCAATTCTAAACTATAAGATATTTTTTCTAGATACATAATTTTTATTATATATTTTAATATATACTATATCTAAATATCTAAACATATAGCAAAAGTAATGTAGCTAGAAAATCAAAACATCGAATAATTTAACAGAGGTAATATATCTCAACAAACATGTGGCTCGAGGATCGCCTCATTTTTTTCCCTGAGCGGTTTTGATATTTTAGGTCTACCCTAATACATGCATGGTCTGCAAAAGCATTTCCTAAGCATGAAGTGATGCTAACTTTAGAAAATCTCTACAAACGATTCATGCACCAAAAGCGGACACCCGATAGTGCCATGTCACCCGCTAACCCGTGAGCCGTCGGATCCGGCCAAGACGCGATATGGACCGTCCGATCGAGGGCGTAGCGGGTCTCGCACCCGTTAACCGTCCACCCGGACGGTCGTGAATCCTCGCGGCGCGTCCCGGCCATCCCGGCGTGGGAGGAGCCCCAGCGGCCCCGGTGACCCCGGCGCAGGCCGCTCCGGTCCCGGCCGTCCGGGCGTGGGCGGGGGCCCCAGCTGCCCCTGCGACCCCGGCGCGGGCGTGGCGGCTCCGGCCACCCCGGAGCGGGCGGCGGGCGCAAGCACGGCGGCTGCGGCCACCCCGCCGCAGGCGTGGGGCTCGAGCGCTGCAGCCCCGGCGGTCCCCTCCCAATCCCGTACGCCGCCTCACACGGCCTCGCCGTGGGCTGCCCGGCCGAGCTGTCTCGGGCAGTGCTCAGACGGACGCAGGCGCTCCTGCGCCACCACCGCACACGCGCGCAGGGCAGGACGACGCTGGCGGCGGTCGTGACGACGGATGCCGCCACCACCAGCTGCAGCAGCCAGTGGTAGTGGCCCCCAAGGCCGGCGTGCTCCGCGGAGTGCAACCGAAGCAGGAACAGCTCCTGCTCGAACACCGACGCGGCGAGCAAGCGTGGCCACCACGTCGCCGACCCCTCCGGCCGTGGCGGCGTCAATTTATTTGTGGAACTTGCTTTGATTCAATTTTACAGATAGATATAGGTTGAACCATCAAAATTGTTCAACTGTAGCCAATATATTTCTTGGCTATGCTAGATATTTGTCGAAGAAGAATAATTCTCTCCTTTCCTTTTTCTTCAGTCTGATCGTCTTCAAAAGGTTTTTATATATGTGCAGTACTTGGGATGGATTTTGCAAAGAGGTCCACCCAAGTTTGCATGGAGCCAACTCTGAAAATTCAACAAATATTAGTGATAGCACTCTTGAAGGTCTTACTCAGACCATCCTGAAGCTTATAGCAGAAAAGAAGACAGAGTTTTAAAGGTGATTCCTTGTAGTAGAACTGGCGTTGGTAGCTCATTTTTGTTTTGGTAGCTTCTCTAACGATTTGGTCAATGTGTTCAGTTGCAAGAGACTGTAGAAAAACTTCACAAGTTATGGAATTTGGAGTCAACAGAACAAGAGAGGATACACTTCTCTGAAGTAGCTGCTGTTCTTGGATCTACTGAGGAAGAAATCAATTCTCCAGGCATTTTGTCATTGGAGACAATTCAGGAGGTATGACAACTATTTGTTACTTTAATTGTCTATTGATAAGATGATTTAATTCTCAGTAGCATTATCTGTATTGAAGAGGAAGTCGAAAGGCTAACTATACAAAAAGCTAGTAGAATGAAGGAGCTTGTTCTCAAGAAAAGGTTAGAACTAGAAGACATCTGCAGAAATACACACATGGAGCCTGATATGAGCACAGCACCAGAGAAGATTATTGCGCTGATTGATTCACACCTATATCTTATCCCTATACTCATGTTTCGTTAATTATTATAACTTCCCAACAGACTGCCATCTCAGGTGACACCAGTTCAAAAACTGGAACTCCAAAGTGAAGACTGCATGGAGCAAGGTGTTGAAGAAAAAACTCTGTTTGACCTCAAACAGATAGATCCTTTGACTGACAAGGTAAAAACACAACTCCTTGTTACATAGAAATAACAATTGCTTCAGTCTCTGTACATTGGCCATCACTCACTATATTATTGTCTGTTAACTATACATATTCACAACAAAAGATTTCAGTGTATAGTCACACTGATATCTTTAGCAGAAAAAGAGCAATGCTGCTACAGAGCTTGCAGAGTTTGCAGCTCCAGAATAATACTAGGCGATGATGGATATGACTGCACAAAAGATGGCTGCTCATGCAAGCAATATGATTGGAAGTAAGAAAACTCCTCCATAACCAACCTGTAACATAGATTCAGTAATTGATCTTTAAAAGGTTCTTTAACTGTATTTTCTATATGCTTCAGGTACAAAGTTTGTTTCATTGCAGCAGATGACACTTATAGCCTTCAGTTCATGTTTTCCGAGAAAAAAGGGGTACATTAAATTTAACTGCATTCCTAATCCTTTCTGATAGGTCAGCATCCTCTTCTCTTGTCCTGCGTTCATCTGCACCAGACTTCAATGTATGGTTACAGATGAGAAAAAAAAACCCCCCCTTGACCAGGCAGATAAAATAGGGCTATAAATGCTGATATATAACACTGAAATCAGAACGTCTTTTCCATACTACTCATGATATCATTTAGTTTTAGAGTACTTACCCACAAAATGACATGTGCAACGACAAGCAGTTTAGCTGTGTTGTCAAACAAATAGAAAAAAAAAATTAAACCTCTCCCTATTTCTAAGAGTCTTATTTCCATTTTTGCCATGTCAAGGAGATCAACCCAAACATTTTGCTATGTCAACTATAAATTGAAGAGAGCTCAAGGCTTCTGCTACAGCTTGAAAACCACATAATTTGATACAAATTTTCCTATGGCTTGTAGACAAACAAAAATCTGTCCAGTGTCTTAGAGATCTCATATTTTTGGTTAACTGCTATATTTACTAATACCTTATGATAATATATTCATGTTAATTTGGATTAAACTTCCATCTACTAATATTCTAGGGATATCATGTTTCTCCCTACACCTGGATCCCACTGATTTATCTGGAAGATATGCCCTAATTTAAAAATAGGTAACATAGAAACACACATATCAAATTAGATGTTCAATACAACACACAATAGTGTATATTTTAAAATGAATTTATTAGTTCTAAGCATACATATATATGCCTCCTTATTTTTCTTCTCTGTGGCAGGGCCAGACAGCTAACAGTAAGAAAACCAAATGGAAGGATATTTTGGTGTACAGGGCACGTCAATGTAGACTGCTGCTTTTGCTTACAGTCGTGGATACAACTTTTGTTACCTGACGCTCTTACTATGTAACTTTTGGTCAAAAACACAACTTTCGACAGCCCAGGAATTTTTTGGGCAACATGGAACAATACAGATGATGCGATGACAGGTTATAAGATATCTCCCTTTTGAGGAGAAAGATTATGTTCACTGCCTCTGCATAGGGTTACTATATCAGTTTCTGCAATGCCAAGGTTGTAAGCAGTATGCTTTGTTGATAATTTCTCACCGCACACGATGTTGCCATGGTTCTTCAGTTAAGGAACTAAACCTTAGGTGCTAAATTAATACCATCCTAGTTGATGAATATTACCAATCTCCAATGATATATTTCTCACTTGGGGATAATTTGATCCAATAAATTTGATTACTGGGAACAAAAATGTATTACTAGAAATAAATAGTTATCCTACTACACTCGACAAAACAACCCGTATGAAAAAGGGCCCATCAACGCTGCAAACAGCCCACACACTGGCCATACGCGGCAAGGCCGCCGCGAGCATTTCTAGTTATTTTGCTATTGGGAGGCCAAAGACCTCACATCCCAATATTCACAAAATCATAGATCCTTTAGATATTTAGAAATCCCAGTGAATCATAGGAGGACAAGTAGTATGGATTGGAAAGATGCCGACGATTGTAATAAATTGAGCAATTGGAAAGGAAAGCTCTGTCTTATGGCGGTAGATTAGTCTTGATAAACTTTGTTTAAGCAGTCTTGCTATGAATATGAAGTACCAAAAAAAATAATCCTTAGAAGGTTATTGGCAAGGGGATAACCATAAGAAAATAATGCAGATTGGTGAAATGAGAAGTCCTTTATGTCTATCAAAGTGACAAGGTGGTCTTGGCATCACAAATCTTGAGATACAAAATGCTTGCTTGCTTAGCATGTGGCTCTTCAATCTAGTTTATGAAGATGGGGTTTGGCAAGAGTTCCTAATAATGAAGCACTTAGACCATTGGTGAATCACAATGGAACCCTGGAGACTCGCATTTCTGGTCAAGCTTATGAAGATAAATAGACCCTGCTTATTAGAGTTATCTTAATTCAAATAATGTTGTGGTTAGGAAGCTTTACTCTCAAAGAACAGTATCCACCTCTTTATAACATCACTATCAAGAAGAATGATTCAGTTGCTACTTGCTAATGTCTTTGATTCTAGACCACCTAATCTTTAATTTTACTGAGCACTGATGGGTGACATGGCAAAATGGAACAAGTTAATTGGAAAAGTAGCTTTTGTGCAATTAGATGACCAACGAGGTTTGATTAAATGGAATCCCAATAACAAAGGTTGTTTTATAGTATAACCCATACATTTGGTAACCTAAATTGTGTCGCCTCCTCATAAGGCATATGGGAGTTTAAACTGTCCCTTAAAATTAAGGCTTCAACATGGCTCCTTATGATGAAGGTAATTTTACCTAAAAATATTTTTATTAAGCAAATTTGGGAAGATTTTAAAACATGCTATTTTTTTGCAACAAATAAGAAACTACTTAACATTAGTTTTTTTATTGTAATGCGGCACGTTTGGGAGAGTGGTTCAGGTTGCTTTTTGTTTTCATCCACTAGGAAACATTATTTTTTTGGCTTTGGCAACTATAAGTAGACTCTAAATTGCAATCCCAAGTTTATGTGGGAGTAAGTGCAACCATCTTATCTATTTTTGTTGAGCCGAAATGATGTTTTTTTAAGAAACATATAATTTATTTTTACTTGCAAATTTCAGAGTCACGTACTAGACACACTTTTGGTCTATTCTTTAGAAGGAGAATGGTAGATCAATTGTGTCGTAGGTTAGAGACCGCACCAATAGAGACATTTTCATCAAAGGGAGATATTCGCCAAGCTATCTTCTAATAAGATTAGCGCTTAGTTTAGTGCACAAGTGTTTTTTTAGGAGGAGTTTAGTGCACAAGTGTTCTTTTATCGTTACTTTCTTTGTTTGCTATTATCAGCCGAGCTCGTAATAGGGGATGGTTACGGGCACGACGTATAGAGGTTGTAAAAAAAATCCATATTTTGCGCCTCTGGCTCTGTTCGCGTGCCCTTAAACCCAGTTTGATCCGCTTCTTTTTTTCATACAAAACAGTGTTTTTCTCTCACAAATTTCTTCAGCATTCCTCCGAACTCCGAACCCTCCGAATTCCTCCGGAACTCCTCCGAGCGAACAGGCGCTCTAGCTCATGTTCGGACTTCGGAGCACTACTGGTCTCCTGCTTCATCTTGTCGAATGGAAAGGTGAGCGCCGGGAACAGCCGCGCCGTTCAGTGCCCCCATGCAAAGCCTGCGATGTCGCATGCATGCTGTACTCGTGCGATGCTCGTCCTGCCACTGGGCCCCATCAGCGCTACATGCATGGCCCACTGGCATGCATTGCATCGTACCCCTCCTAGTGCCAGTGTGCTACACCACCTCTGCTTAGCACACGACCCTAGCAGTCTTGGCCTCTTGGGGAAGCATAGGGCTTGCCACTGCATCACTGCAGCCTGCAGGCCTTGGCCATCCCGATCCAATCCTGCTGCGTTGTGCAAGTGTGCAGCTCATCATCTCATGCATGCCATTCAGGCCATTGCAGGTAGACAGGTGGTTGGGTGGGCAATAAAAGCCCTTCAGAAATGGTGCTGGCAAATTGCAATGCAGCTCTCCAGAGACCAGAGTCCAGAGCAAGGGACAAGAAGATAAGGCCCCGTTTAGATCCAATTTTTTTTGATTTTGACTACTGTAGCATTTTCGTTTGTATTTTGGTAATTAGTGTCTAATTATGGACTAATTAGATTCAAAAGTTTCATCTCGCGATTTCTCACCCAACTGTGCAATTAGTTTTTTTCGTCTACATTTAGTACTTTATACATGTATCGAAAGATTCGATGTGACAGGTACTGCGCTGCCCAAAATTTTTTGGAATCTAAACGAGCCTAATTTTACCAATGGCCCGGTCTCAGTCTCAGTCTCACTCTCACATAGGATTCTTCTTGTTACTTTCAGCGTCTGACAGAGTCAAGGAGTCTACGTGAACAGGCTGCACATGGAGGCAATCAAGCGAGCACAGTGGCCAGCAGTTAATGACCACGTCAGTGCACCTCTCCTCTCAAACATGTGTGAGTGAGACGCAGAGAAATGCCATGGGAACTGTTGGCCCCAACAGCCTGTTAAATTCTTGGCATCATAGTCTCAGCCCTTGGGGAAAGTTAAAATTTGGCTACCGTAGCACTTTCGTTTTTATTTGATAATTAATGTTTAATCATGAACTAATTAGACTCAAAACGTTCGTCTCGTAATTTCCCACCAAACTATGTAATTAGTTTTTTTTTCATCTACATTTAATGCTCCATATATATATATATCACAAGATTCGATGTGATGGATACTATAGCGCTTTTTTGAACTTTTTTTGCAACTGAACACGGGCTTAGTGTCTCAGGCAAGCAGTGGAGTGGAGCCGGGTGTACATGATGGGTCATGGTTCTCAGTGCACAACACATCTTTGTACAGGAAACAGGCTACAGCTAACACCAACAGATCCACGGCACAGAGCTTTCTACAAAGATATACAACCCATGGGCAAAACAACCCAACCACCAGCATGTAGCTACTACATGAGGGACTGAATCATACAGGGAACAGCCGCTGCTTGTTTGAGGCTTTGAACTGTCGGTTCCCTCGTCGACCATTTCGGCTTGTGACTCACAAGCACCAGACACTGAGAGCTGCTACACTCACCTGTGCTAGTTGTGCAACAGTAAGCATTGATCCAACATGACATGATCCGGCGCCGCGCCCGTGATTTAAGGACATGCACAGCACTCAGGAAATTATGATGATTATAAGCTGTGGAGCTGCATTAGCATTGCGACGAGCTCATCGCTGGATGGCCGATCGGTTGGCGAATCCGAGAGGCAGACAATGGCAATCCTGATGGCCATCAGCATCTCCTCTTCTTCTCCCTCGTCCCCCAAGATGTTACTATCCAGTGCTTCTTTCGGATCCGCAGATTGCTGCATATGCCGGAGCCATCTTGCGAGGCCGCCTTGCCCAGTTTCTCCGGAGAAGAAAGAGTCTGTTGGGTCTCTCCCAGTGAGCAGCACGCCCAGGATCATGCCAAGGGCATACACATCACTCTTATCTGTGTACCTGTACCATCAAATAGTTGAGCTTATATGAGATGAGGCACCTACAAATGCAAAGTTATTACAGTCTTAAATCATCAAGAAGGAAATACTTGGACAGATCAACTACAGTCTTGTACAGAAAAAAAAATCAATTTTATTCAAAACAATCAGAATACTCCTTACTCTCAAGGGGCGAAATTCAGAATCCATCACTACCATGACTGAGGCAAAGCATTAATCAAGCCCTTATACATGGCTTAGATAAATGAGTCTGTTTTTTTTTCTGAGAAAGATATCTTGTGGAAAGTAATTGCTTAGAAATGAACCCTCTAAAAAATTACTGACATAGCTAGGTTTGTCAGGAAAGATGATGGAATATGAACAGTAGAATCAGAATGCCAATCCTCAAAGGATTTATTCTTTGATGGACATATGGAAGGTCTGAGTGAAAAAGATGGCAATAACGTTTTGGAGATAAAAAAGGGAGCAGACCAGTATTCTGTATGCGCGCTCATGCAGGAATTTATGAAAAGCGGGAGCATCAAAGGTAGGCAAATTGAGATCCTCTAGCAAAGCAAAGATTCTCATGCCGCGAAAAGCAAAAGTTAGATACTTTCACTAAGCCCTAGGGATAATCATCATTTTTATGCTTTATGCCTTCTCAGTTACTCTTCTGGCAAGTTTAATGACAAAGAAGACTACTAGTAGTAACTTGGAAAAACTGAATGGTAGCATCCACAAGTCAATGGATGTATACTATCTAGTGGGTTAAGAAAAATTGTAATAAAAAATATATAAAGTGGAAGTAAAAAAAAAGACACCAACCTAGGAGGAATAGGCACTTTTCATTGTTATTAATCATTAAGAGGAAAATAAACACTCAAATTCGAGTTGAAGAGGGCTTGAACCAGCATGGTTGGGTGCATGACCACACCTCTCAGGCTCCCACCCAACCAATTGAGATAGACTTCCTATATAAAGTGGAAGTTGTAAGCTTAATATTTGTTTTGCCAAACCAAAGACATCAAACTGCCACTATGTATTCTAAAACAATACTCAGATGCTTGTGGTATCACTCCAAATCCAGGCGGATGTCAAATACAGAGAATGATCGGGTAAAGTCACTACAAGATATAGTTTCCCTACAATGTCAACTAGCTAGACAATGCCAAACGAAAATATTAAAGGAAACTCTATATACGTCATAGATTTCTACAATTCCTTTCTTATCTCCATGTTTCTGTAATGAAATGCCTTTGGTATTTGTATGGTCCAAGAATTTTATTAGAACAGTTGAGATTTGATATCAAAAGGTGAACATATACACACCAGCCATCTGGTTCTAGACTTTATATACATGCATAGCAATTAGCAAAGAACTCAAAGTCTGCAACATATTCTTCTTGTTCATGGGGTAACCATTGACCGAGCAAGAATGATACATGATCACCATCCATCAAGAATGCCACATAAGTAACATTCAGCTAATACTATAAAAGCTTGAATCACTTAGATTTATGTTTCCTTCTTCAGTTCAAGAGTAAGTACCACAAAATTTTCTTTGTATGATCAAATATCAACAATAAGCTAAGGGCCCTTAGAATGTGGGTCCATTTTACAATACTCATACAAGATTTGGATTGTTTCCTGTAAAATTTCATGCTTTCCCACAGGGTTGTAAGAATGTTGATGAGATTATTCAGGAATTTAACTGGTTCTTTATATCGACAAAAAAGCACTGAAAATGGTAATGCATTGACGGTACCTGCTGCTTTGGTAGCATTCTGGAGAAGCGTAGAGGCCACTGCACAATTCTGGATCACCTGAACCTGCTGCAATCAGCCTTGCAACACCACAATCTGTCAATATTGGCTCGAAACCTTCATCTAGCATCACATTCGACGGTTTGAGGTTGCAGTGGAGTATCCTCGGATTGCACTCAAAATGCAAGTGCCTCAATCCCTTGGCAATCCCAACAGCAATCCTGCTCCTCGCATCCCAACTGAGGCTGACTTGCTGCGATCTCACCCTCTTCATCACATCCTCGAGGCTGCCTCCAGGAACGAAGTCGTACACGAGCGAGAGGCGGTCCGCCTCACGAACGTACGCCTTCAACGACAACACATTCTGGTGCCTGACGCGAGCAAGGGCCTCAAGCTGCCTCTGCACCCTCCTCATGTCTGACTTGGACGCGCTCGGGGACATGGACGGCGAGGCCTCGGGGCGGCTGGCCGCCTCGAGGCGCTTGACGGCGACGGTGAGGTCGTTGTCGAGCGCCAGCTTGTAGTACTTGCCGTGGGGCCCATGGGCGAGCGGCTGCGCGGCGGGGAGCGCGGCCAGGAGGTTCTTGGCGGAGATTTGCGGGGCGAAGGAGACGGGGCCCTTGGCGATCGCGGGCGTGCTCTTGGCGCGCAGGATGGCGAGGCGGATGGCGTAGAGGAAGGCGAGCGCGAGGAGGAAGCCGGAGAGGGAGCCGAAGAGGACCCCGAGCGTGATGCGGCGGAGGCGCGCGGCGCCGCCGGCCTGCGCCCGGGGAATACTGGACCGCGGCGGCGCGGGCGACGGCGGCGGGGACTGCGTCGCCATGGGCTCCGAGTGGAGCGGCTGGGAGGAGACCGGCGCGCACAGCGCGAGGAACGCGAGCAGGAGGAGGAGAAGAGTGGTGGCCAGGAGCGGCAGGGCTTTGGTAGGGTTCCTGCTCGTCATCCTAGCTCCTACCACCATGAAACAAGTACACAAGACTTGCTAGAAGAAAGGAGCAAAATTCCTTGGGCGAGAAAGGGGGTGAAGAAATCGATCAATGCTCAGGTTTTCCCTGTTCCTCGTCCACCTCACTCGCACACCCAGCAGCTTTCCTCCATGGAAATCAGAGAAAAACAACTGGAGACAAGGTGCAAAGGTTGCAAGAAGCGAGGAAGTTGCGGAGCCCCAAGAACTCGCGCATGGCGCTCGTGATCTTTACCCGCAGAAACTGTTCAACAAGGAAGACGAATAGAAAAGGCAGTCGCCCAAGGCGCGTGCGGCGTGGAGCTTGGAAGGAGGAGGAGTACCTGACGACGACGAAGAACCAAGACAGAGACAAGACCGAGCGAAGGAGCACGCCTAGTCTCACCGCCTCCCGCGCTCCCAAGCCGGCGGCGGCTCACGCACTTGTCGCCTCCCACCAAGAAATCAACCGAGGTTAGCGGCTCACACCGCAGCACGGAGCACACTATGCAAGCATGATCTCTCCCTTTTCTTTCACTCCTCTCACACTGGTACCGAGCTGTGTCTGTGTGCTCTCCCTCCAGAAAGCTTCAAACCAAAACGACAACAGGGAGCAAGAATATCCAAAGCTGAGCCCTCGCCCTCGCCGGCTCTCTCACCTGGGGCACTGCTCGCAATAAGTTACTCGGAGAGCAGAGCAGTGTGGCATTGGTGTGGGCGCCCGGAGCTAAAAGCCGAGAGCTTTCTTGACGCATCCCTCTCCCCTCGCGGGCGGCTCGCGCCCACCACCAAGCAGTGCGACCGGACCGGACCAGCCAGACATTCTCCTCCTCCCCCCGTCCCCGCTCCCCGGCGCGCGCGCGACTGGATGGCTTGGAACTTGGACTCTTTCTCTCTCCCGTTTCTACCCCTCACCCGCGGGGCCCGGGGGTGCAGCGCGGCGCGTGGCCGTAGCGGAGGAGAGAGAGAGAGAGAGAGAGAGAGGAGCCCGAGACGGAGCAGAGATGCTTTGATGCCCGTGCACAGCAATTGCCCACACTGTTTCGAATCTCTTCTTTTATCTGTCCTTCCTCAAAGTGAGAACTGTCGCTTCTCCCCACAGTACTGCCGCTGCTGGTAGCAGGGCCTTTGTTTAGAGTGGGCTTACGAATTAGTATACGATACTGTAGTATTTTTGTTTGTGTTTGATAATTATTGTCCAATCATAGTCTAATTAGACTTAAAAGATTTATCTCGTAATTTATAATCAAACTATGTAATTAGTTATTTTTTATCTACATTTAATACTCCATGTATGTGTTCAAATATTTGATGTGATGGAGAGAGTGTGAAAAAACTTACGATCTAAACCAGGGCCTTGTTTAGTTCGCGGTTAGGAATCAGTATTCGGTACTGTAGTACTTTTGTTTGTATTTGACAATTATTGTCCAATCATGGTCTAACTAGGCTTAAAAGATTCGTCTCGTAATTTACAATCAAACTATGTAATTAGTTATTTTTTTATCTATATTTAATAATCCATACATGTGTCCAAAAATTTAATGTGATGGAGAAAGAGTGAAAAAACTTGGAATCTAAACAAGGGCCAGGCCTAGTAGTGGTAGGAGGAGTAAAAATTTTCTTTTCACCTGGAACACAGTACAGTAGTTACTCCGTACTAGTACTCTGGTGCCGGCAGGCGGCAGCAGTAGCACTCTGGATTCGGTATATCACTCGCCGTGTAAAACACCGGTCAAAATACACAGCAATCCACTAGTACGCGCAAGTGATGCCACTGATCCTATAACGACTCTTTTTTTACCGCTTTATCTAACTCTCTCACCCAACATGAATTTAACTCGGCCGAATGGGATCTCGTCACACTGTTTGATAATGGTAATCTTGCATTCCTCCTCCTGCAAATGGATTACTGCTCCGGAACCGGACGAGCAAAACAACTTTATTTGGGGTCCTTTGGCTGCTGCTTTGCACTGGAAGAAAAAAATAATTATAGGATACTTTTTTCTAAATTTGAAAAAGTATTCAACTTATTGCCTGGAAACCGATATTTCTCACAGAGCAATGAACAAGTCTTATATCTCCAATTAAGTTTACTATAAACTTATAATTTCTCCATTTAAAATTAGGATTTATCTCCTCAGTAGGTGACTGATGGAAAGATTATCCATCAGTCACCTTCTGAGCCGTTGCGCCACTCCCGCCCGTCTCTCCGCAGCGCATCGCTGCCAAGCATGCATCCCGGTGAATGGTGATCTACCTCTTGCCCAGCACGCAGCATCGCTGCCCAGTCTCACAGTCGCAGACCACGCCCCCACTACCGGCCCGGTCTCTCTCATAGGCAGAGGAGTTAAATCCTCCAGCATGCAGTCTCTCAGGCAGGTGACTGATGAATTTATAAATTATAAGATGTTTTGACTTTTTTAATATAAAATTTTGTTATACACTATGTCTACTTATATAGTAAAATAATGTATCTAGAAATATCAAAACCTCTTAAAATTCGGAAGTGGAGTAAATATTTATTAATATTTCTTAGATATATAAATGTTAATGATTTTTATGTATTTGATCAAAACTGAAATGTTCTCCGCAAAGCGAGAAGTGTGTTTGTTTTCGACAGAGGTTTGCAGTAAAAAGCATGGGACGTCATTATACCGGGGCCCGTACTTTGAGGCTCCTTTTTCCTTTTCCCGCCGCATGTTTCGGCCCCTCTTTTCGGTCGCCGCGACGTGATCCTCACTGACGTGTGGGGACCTCGCTGCACCCCCCACGTGCCGCGGAGGCGACGGCGAGACGGTCAGCCCATGTGAGGACCTCTTCCCAGATGGGCCGTCGTTAAGTGAGATCGCATGTTGACCCATATTAGTAGCGGGCCAGGCCACAAAGAGGACAGAGTAAACAATATGGGCCGTACCCATGCTGTTCGTTACGACTCCTTCGAGGCCCAGTTTTATTTGCATAGCTCAGTATCGTAGAACTGGAAAGCCTCGGTTTCTTCTACACTGGCAGGATAGCAAACAAATTACGAGTACTAGCAACACCCAGATCGATCCGATCGGTTCATCCGGCGAGATAATCCATGGCTGGCTGCTGTGCTAGGGTTTAGGGCTTCCTCGCCTAATTCCATCCGCACCCACCCCTCGGCTCTGCGGCCTCGTGGAGCAGGATCGATCGGTTCGGTAAGGACCCAATCCCCGTTCCCCATTCCCCATTGAAGGCCCATTCCCGTCTGATCGTAAGCGTAGGCTAGGCTCTGGCGCGATGAGTTCGGTTAAATTCCAATTGGAATCCGCGGCGCAATGCTTGGCTCTGACGGTGGTTCCGTCGCAGGATGGAGGACGGGGAGGCGGAGGAGGCGCAGCGGGACGCGATCACGGCGAGGATGCGGGCCCAGGACTACGCGGGCGCGAGGGCGCTGCTGCTGCGGACGCTGCAGACGAACCCCAGGCTGGAGGGCGCCCTGGAAATGCTCCCGGTGCTCGAGGTCCTCTGCTGCGCCGCCGGCAGCGCGGCCAGCGGCCGTGGGGGTGTGGACTGGTACAGGGTCCTCCAGGTGCTTCCCGGGGATGACGCGGCCAGGATCGAGGCGCGGTACAAGAGCATCGTGGCCCAGGTGGAGCCGGCCATGGGGGCTCTGCCCGGCGCCGAATTGGCCCTCAAGCTCGTGGACGAGGCGTACACGGTGCTCTCTGATCCCGAGAAGCGAGAGGGGTTCGATTCAAGCAACGTTTTCAGTCGGTTCGTCCGGTCTGGTGTTGTTGATGCGCCAGCGCACGGTGGTACACTCGTCCGTACTGACAGGGTGAACAGTCTCCACACAAAGGAGATTAGGGCGGCAGATGGTACTAGCAATGCAGCCTCACATATCAACCGCGCCGCGGACAGGCCATACTTTGATGGAAGGGGTCCCCTTCTTTCAAATGTGGCAAGTTCTTCCGGGACTAAGAGGATGGATCCTTGCTTTCTTGGTGATGACAGCGAGTTGCAGTCACCTGACGGCACTCATGTTGACAAGAGGCAAAAGAGTGTCTGTGAAAAGGATGTTTATTGCATGTCGCCCTCACAGGAAGATTGGAATGCCTGCTTTGATGATCCATCACCTGCCATGGAAGAAGATTTGGATGCCTGCTTTGATGATCCATATGGCGTTAAAGAAGATGATCTCTGCAGTAGTAAGCAGTATGAATACCATAACTTTGAGGAAGATAGAGCGATCGAGAATTTTGCTGCTGGCCAGGTTTGGGCAGCATATGACTGGGAGAGGTTTCCTCGTAGATATGCACTGATTGTTAAAGTACTGACGGATAAGATGCAGTTATATGTCTCATGGTTCAAGCCCTGTCCGCAAACTCCTGAAGAGAAAAAATGGTCCCATGCAGGCTTGCCATTGATTTGTGGAACTTTCATTGCAGAAGAACACTGTATCTCATTAACATGTTCAACTATGTTCTGTCACCAAATTTTCAGCGACAACCTGAATCAACATCTTGAAGTGCATCCCCAGGAAGGTGAGGTATGGGCCATTTATAGTAATTGGGATATTGGGTGGTACACTGATCCTAGGATGTGGAAGAATAGTGCCTTCTCTATTGTTGAAATTCTTACCAGTTATTCTAGTGAATCAGGATGCACTGTTGCACATTTGGTAAAGGTAGATGGGAATGGAAGTGTTTTCCAGAGGCACTTCAAGACTGGAACAGAGCACTTGTTACACATACACAGGGACAATCTGATCATGTTCTCTCACAGGATCCCTTCTTTCAGATTTACTCCTGAGGCCGGAACTATGTTCGAGCTGGAACATTCCGCGGTACCAGAAAATATTCACCAAGAAAATACATCAGCGTGTGTTTCTCATTTTTCTGAGCTTTCAGGTTTGCATGATGACACAAATGGCTTCCCTGAAACTACTGTTGCAAAATTCTCAAATCCTTCATCAACAAGCAAAATGGAAGCAGGTTCCCCAATGCAAGCCATGATGAGCTACAATACCAAGTGGGCCCCCAAGGATTTTCTAGAGGGTCAAATATGGGCTGTGTTTGATTCTCGGGACAGGATGCCTAGGTCTTATGTCAGGATTATCCATGTGGTTTCATATACTTCAGTTTTTGTTTTGAAGTTGGAACCTCACCCTATGCTTAATGAAGAGATACAGTGGGTTGAAGATGGTCTACCAGTTGCTTCTGGGGTATTTCGCGCTGGTACTGAAACTACTTACAAGGATATCTGGGAATTCTCACACCCTGTAGAGTGTGACTGGAGTGCAAAAAGGTCTTTTTACCGAATTTTCCCCCAAAAAGGGGAAATATGGGCAATGCTAAAAAATTGGAAGATCACCTTGAATAGCACTGACATTGACAAATGTGAACCTCGCATGGTTGAGATCCTCTCAGACTACTCTGATGAAAATGGAGTAAATGTGTGCAGCTTGGCTCGGGTAAAAAGTTGCTTTACCATTTTTCATAGGGTAGTAATGGAAGATTTCCATTTGACAAGGTGGATTCCAAGGTCTGAAATGCTCAGCTTTTCCCATCGTGTTCCTGCTTTTGTGATTGTTGATATCAAAGATCATGATATACCAAAAGGGTCATGGCATCTGGAACCAAGTGCCCTTCCTACAAGGATCATACATTAACACATGTATAGTAGCAGAAGTAACCAATAGTCCAATTGTAATGAACTAATGACTCCACCCTTCTCTATTGCTCCATTTTAAATTGTTCTACTTGTCTCCAGTAATTATCTTGTCCTTACTGTCTCATTTGTGAAGATAACTGTTTGACCAACTCTTCAAAATTCCCATGTTTTACCAATTGCAGATCAGGTCTGTCAGGTGTTAAAATTTGGAAATGAATTCTTTTACCATGAAATAATGAGCCATAATACAAAACGAGAAAGTAATGTAATTTAAATTAAGGTTTACTGTAGCATTGTTTTACCGCTGGCATCAACTGCCAATTGGTGCTGCTACAGGCTCCCCGGTTGGAATTATCTGTTGTGTCAGCCCTTTCTGTTCATTTAGTTGCTTCATGATGAGCACTGTATGCAATCACCAACTTCATTCCTGATTAATATTTTGTGTAACGGAACATTAATGTAAAGGAAAATATCTCTTTATTGGATCTGCCGACACTGCAGTACTGTTGAAGAAAGGAAACACATAATCGTCAACCAATGATGTGTTTCAGTGTTCCTTGTGACAGGTTGCCCAAAATATCGTTGTCGCTTGTCACTGCTAGATAATTCTATTGAGATGATTTAGAAAAAAAGAATTGTTATTCTGTAGTTACCCTCTTAAGCTGTTTGAAGGTCCATGAAACAAGAGGATGATGTCTTCTGTAGTCACCCTCTTAAGCTGTTTGGAGGTCCATATCAGCACATTATCAATCAAGTTTAACTGACTTTGTGGATACACTAAATACTCTTTAACTCATGCATATGTCAGCACTGTGAAATTTACAGTTCCAGTACAAAAATTGAATTGTGATAAATTTACTGAATTTCGTTCAATTATTGCGTGCTGGATATCTTTTTCCTTGGTTCCAGCCTTGTAATTGCCCCATTCAAAGGAAATGTTAGGCAGGAATAAATAGCGTATTTTGTGGTCCTTTCATATGATGTAGGCTGCTTAGAATAAAATTAGACGATACCTTGGTATTAATGTACCCTTTTTCAATCTGACTTTTTTGGTCTGCACTTGTATACTATTGTCAAATGTAGTACGCAACTAGTTTCCTATTACTTTAAATGCTTCTGCTGATTTAACTTACTATTTTTCCCATTTTTTTTTCAGACAAGACCTCACCAGCTGATTGCTTGTTGAGCGAGCAGTCTATGTGTTTTTCTTGTGCTCAAGTGCAACTGTTTTTAAGTGTTTTGGCATTCAAATACGAAGTTTCCTGCCTCCCAAGTGGATATAAGAAACTTGAGAATGACAGAGACAGATAAATTCATGTTTGAGCAAGAGACTTGAAGCATTCTGTGGTATTCACATGCAACACTGGAGATTATTTCGAATACCATCCAGATGTCAACATCACACCTAAATTATGCTGAGAGTCGCATATTACTCTGTAAACTACACGTTGCTAGTAATGCTCGAAGTGGAAGTTATTGTCCTTGCTGACGTTGGAACCTGAAAATGCAATCTTGGTCAGTAGGGTGCCTATGAAGGGTAGTAGGTGCTAGGTGGGCAGAGGCATGCCCCCCGTTTTTTACATGGAATTTGCAGCATTGTCTGAATTTTCATTTGGGTACTCTGGGCCTTCAGCTATTTATGGTGATTTGCTGTGTATGTTTTTAACAATCTACTAGGTGCTAACAGTTTTCAAAGTTTTTAGGTAGTGTGTCGGTGTGCCCTTGAAAATGGGTGCAAGTACATCAAGAAAATGATAGCTGCTTATCCAATCAGGGTGTATGTCTGTCTGATGTTTGACATCGTCGGGGTTCAGTTTTTGTCATCCTTGTCTTTGGAGATTCAAGGCCATTTGATTTTCAGTTTCCTTTCACGTTTCTTGAATAAAGTTTCTGCTGAGTTGCATTGAGCGATGAATATGGAATTTCAGTGGTTTTTATATGTCTGAATCCCACCTTCTCGGTTCTAACTCCATCGTGCTTTCAGTATTGGTGAACACGGAATGCACGCCAGCTATGATCTTAGGTTTTTGCTTTAATTCTGGCCTTCTTGGGTTTGGGAGGTTGATGGTTCCTCTTTGCCTACCATTTAAAGAACAGTAGCATGGTGTCTCTTATCCTGGCCTTTATGTTGTAAGTTTGAAGGATGAGGCACTATAGTATATGCTAACAGAATTGTAAAGATACCTAAAGATAAGATACAAGAGAAAATATGTAGCAGAAACTACATACCATTTAGGTGTACCTAAAGAGCACTTCGATTCTCCTTTTTATATCACTGCAACTGCTGTTGCTCTGTTCCTTTATTTTCAATATCAACTCTACCTAGTACATTATAAAACCATCACGCTATATAAGGTGTCAGGAACTGGAACCTTTTTTTTCCCGTGTGTATATATACTGGTGAAATATGCAGAGCTGCAGGAGCATTTTCTTGCAGAAAGGGTAAAAGATCCTAGATTTCTAACTGGAACCTATTTTGTTGTTCCAATGTCACATTTCACTGTCCTGATCGTTTGGCTGATAAGTCATGGCTGAAAGTACTGTTGACTGATTTGTTGTGAGAGAAAAATACTGTTCGTTGGCTGAAAAAGTACGGCTTATAATCCATGCGAACAGGCTAACCCATCTTAGACTTTGTAGGCCTTTCTTTTTTTTACTTTTTGCACTGCAAGTAACCTCTCTGATGTGGTGATTTCCTAATCTGTTACTGTAACAATGGTCACAGTGAAAACAAAGAGGAGGGAGGAATCCAATACAAGGTGGGGCCACCTTCAGTTGGAAATTGGCACTAGCCTCCAAGACAAGTGACATCATATATACATATAATCCTAGTCATCCAATGAAACTATGAAAGTGAATGACCTTGACACATTGGGATGGACTGAGTGGGTCTTTGGAAAGGAGATCCATCAGCAAATAAGCATGATTGCTGCAGTTCACCTTCCATTCATCCTACGCCAACTTCATTCACAAGTGATTAAAATAATCCGCCCTTCTCAGTGGGTGGTCTCGGCAAGTACATCCTACACCAACTTCATTCACAAGTGATTAAAATAATCCGCCCTTCTCAGTTGGTGGTCTCGGCAAGTAACTGTTGTGATATGACTGTGGTTTTATCTATTCATTTAGCTTATAAACCGTACTTTTTTAATTAACGAACAATATTTTTATCAATAACAAATCAGCCAACGGTACTTTCAGGCGAAATAAAAGGAGAGGCCTTGGGTGCTGTCGTTGGACAGGAAAGGGGGAGCTCAAGCCTCAAGAAGAGCCCACGCCGCGCCGCCATGGACATGGAGCTGGAGCACGGAGGGGATGAAGACGAGAGAGGGAGTGAGTCCTCCTCCTCCTCCTCCAAGAGGACCTTCGGCGCTTCGTCGGACGCAACCGTCAGCAGCACACCAAGCAAGCTGCAAGCTCTGAGGTTTGCAGAGGACCTCTCTCTCCCATCGGTACGCTCTCTCCCTCTCTGTCTCATCAGTCTTAGCTAGCTGATCAGTACCTAGAAATGAGAAATCTGCAATGACCTGTCGTTGGGTTCTTGAAACCAAGCTGCGATTATTACTCTGGTAGCTGAAACTAGAGCCATCATCTTTCTGCCGAAGCACTCTGTTCTTACTGCTTCGTTGAGGATGCTAGCCTTTGCCATTCCAGAAACCGTTAGCCCTGTCCATCTTTCTCAATGGAGCTGGAGCCCGTCAGTTCAGGCTTCCGTGGTGGTATGGTAGTAACAGTAAAGTCACTCCATCCTTCACTTCATTTTGACAGACAGTCTCCATCTCCATCTCCACACGTTCAGTGTCCGTTGTCCCACTGTATATCGAGGGAGAAAAATAATGTTCCGACTGAAAATTTACTATCATTTACGACGAACCACAGTCAAACGAACATGCTGCTAGTTTATCTCCTTGGATTCTCAAAAGGGCCCCCCCGTTTGCGATCGCTTTTGCCCTCCAGTCCGGCTTTTAGCGTAAAGGTGAAAGGCCCTGCCCCTGTTACTGTTAGTGCCAATCCGCCAAACAACTGCACTGCAGGGAGCAGTTTACTTCCCTGTCTGTCTGTCTCTCTTTCTATCTCTTAACCTTGCTCTGCATGGAAATGGAAAAGCAAGTGATCTGATCAGCCTGGAAATCAGAAATCTGTAAAAATCTACACACTACTGTTCTTGTTCACATGGAAATCAATGGAGAGAGTAGCATGTAGTAACTTGTTAGCATGACTGAATCTGGTAGCAGACACCGGGCACGCATGCAGCAACTGTAGCCTGTTTCTTGCGCCGGTCTATGCTATGCTATTGCTGCCGCTTGTTTCTTGCGCCGGTACCGTCTCGGCCACAGCTGAGCTGTCGGCTGTTGGCCGTTGCTGGGAGCTCGAGCTGCTTGTCTGGCCACGACAAAGGTGAAGCCGTCACCGATTTCGGTGCCTCCTCTCTCGCAGTGTTTTTGACTTCTGACCATAAGCAGTAGACAAGGCTAAGGCATGAGCATACATCACGTGCCAGGCATGAGCAGGCAACAACTGTAGCCGCCACGCCTGATGAATGCTCCTCGTTTAACTCTCACCAACATCTACCATCTTATTCCTACCGTTGAAGATTACTGATTACTACATACTAGTAGTAGGAGTATTAGCCTTTGCTTTGACCGACAAGTTTCTGCCTCTTTTTTCAAAACAAAAAAGAAATAAGAAATGAATTTAGGTGACAGTGCAGGAATGTTCGCATCCTATTCGTGGAGCTAGGTTGCTTCAGAGTCATTTTCTCCGGGGTAGGCTATCTGTCTGTCCGTATTCCTGCGTGTTTATGCCGTCAAATACATGGCATGTGCTACGCAACACGTACACGTACGCTTGCTTTGACCTGATATGTACACGCGCATGCATGTGGAATTAATAAATTTAGTAAACCATCCCCTTCACTCGTTAATCCATTCTCTTATCCCATTTGATTTTGACCATGCATGCAAGTATACACACATGCGTGCTCCCATTTGATTCAGTCCAGCATTTGGCCATCAGTTATAGCTCTGACCGAACATTATATATATTTAATCTCCAGCATCTGCACAAGTTTCTTACGTTTGGACAAAGGGAATTTCGATAACAGATACTACAATGATTCGTTCGATCGCTATCAGAGTATCAGGATGGATGGATTTGTAGTAGTAGATTACACTGTAGAATGAACAACAGAGCGTCAGCGACACTGACGCTTTCCACATCCTGCTTCTTCTTCTGAAGATTCTTTAGAGAGACGCTGTTGCGTACATGCATTACTGACATGCGTCATGGCCCTGCTACTTATATATATCCTCGCAGTAATTTTTATCCCGACAACAAGGGATGATGGCCACATGCATTTGCCCTGCATGGTATCTGAAAAAGTCTTGGCCTAATCACTAGACCAAGAGAAGCTCACAACGGGCATGCGACTACTCCAGACGACCCAGCCCAGGCCACATTGCACGTGATACAGTATTCATACTATAATGCAAGTGGCTTGCATAGCCAATAGATTAGCATATACTATATGTTAGTGATATTGTTATGATGTGCCGTGGAGGCAGAGACAAGGAGATATAATTACCCTGTTCGCTTGATCGTTTCTGTGGCTTATAAGCCGGCTGATGCTGTTTTGTTGTGAGAGAAAAATATTGTATCATGTCTGATAAGCATGGCTGATATGATCAAGCGAACAGGGTTCAAGAGTGGCAGCCATGTGACTTTTGGTATTTGAGAGAGGAACATATGTGTACCCTATATGGCTATATCATAGTTCTCTTCCCTGTGGTACGTATATTCCTCGCAAATAGTTTATAAATATACAATGAACTATAGCCGTACGTCCTGATTAGTGGTAGGTGGATTAATGGTTAGGTGTGATGGAAGCATAGGTATCTAGTTACTAATTAACTAGCTTTTAATTAGGATATAAGTCTGTGACCACTTAACCGTTCATGATTAATGTCAACAGCTAAGGCGAGCCTATCTATCTAACCCAACTTGCATTGGCCAGCCGGCGTTGTAAACAAGCATCGATCTGATCGATCCATACGCGCGCGCCGTGCTATCACTGAACGCCTGAACGGATCGGTGGTTGGCTAGCGAGCTGGTCCATACTCATGATCCATACCTTATATACCTTGGGTGCCGTTTTTGCCAGGGATTCGGTTTGTCAAATAAACATTAGTTTTTTTTGGAGAAAGAAATAACACGAAGGATCCCTATCATATGCACCCTTATTCATTACGTAGAAGCAATGCAAATGCGAATGATGCATGATGAGTTATATATGGTGGTGATGGATGCCAATAAGGCAATAATGATGTTTATGGAGAGTGGATGCCAGTGTTGATGTGGAGATGAAACTGATGAAGAGAAATTGCTGGAATAATGCGCGCAGGTGCAGGTGGTGGTGATGAGCGCCAACATGGGGTGTTCGCACTGCCGGCAGCGGGTCGCCAACGTCGTCTCCAAGATGAACGGTGAGCATCAACATTCAAAGATGTCATGTACTCATGTCGGTTAATGCACATAAATACATATGGACCCATCACCACTAATTACCTGTCATTAGGAGTTTAGGACGCATCATGTGATGTCCGTAATGCGTTTACCTTTACTAGCAGTGCTAACCAATGCATCGTTCTTCCTTCTTACGCATCCATCTTGGGCCACTCGTCGGCCATTGTACGTACGTACTGCTGCCTGCTCATCCATCAGCTCATGTACGTGCTTGGCTTGTGTCCATTAGCAGGGCTGCTGGACTACATGGTGGACTTCGGGAAGAAGGAGGTGACAGTGCGTGGGAAGGTGGTGCACACCAAGAAGAAGAAGAAGCACAGGAAGGCACTGCTGGGTGCTGCAGGTTGGGACGACGCCTCGTCTTCGCCCGGCGGCCATGCCAGGACGCTGTCCTGGTTTTTGGGATGCTACGGCTCATGACCACAATAGCTAGTATATACGTACTCCTACCGCATGCATAGAGTATCATACCGCTGTATGTGCATGCTATACTTATATGTAACTACTAGTAGCTGCATATATAGCTGTAATAAATAGTCTGTTAGTAATCTATATTTCTTCTTCCGGTCCCTTTATTTCCATTTCATTCATTGCTTTCTTTTCATTCTGAATAATGTAGCATGCATGTATGCAGCAAGCAAGCAGCCATATGTATATATGTATGTATATATGTATATGCCACACACGTGCCCGTGCTCCACGATCCCCGTGTCTTCTTCCTTCACGCATCCATTCAGCGGAGCAGACATTTTGCTTCCACGCTGTATGCCTGTATCGATCGCTATCGTCTCACCTACTGCATGCACTGGCCGAACAAGACCACCTCGCGTCGCGGTCTGCTGAACTGAACTGCGCACTAGCCGTAGGCCCCCCCGCACGGCGGAATAACCGGATCCGTGCTGGGGACACGCCGGAGCACCGCACCGCCACCGGGCTCCGGAGTGACGACTCGGATCGAGAGTTCCCATGGCATGCACCGGTGTCGCGGCTGCAGCGACAGACAAGGCGAGAAGAACAGAGCAAGAGTTAACTGACTGCTGACTGGTCGGCTCCTGTGTCGTCGCGGCGTCGCCTGAATATTCCTCCCTCACGTTTGCTGCTTGTGAAGCTGTAGCCACTTGTCTGATGAGCGAGCAGAGCAGAGGCAGGAATATTCAGGCAGCAGTGTCTCAACCCTGAACTGATAAGGAAAGGCTCGGCTGAGTGAGAGCACTATGCAGTGCTCACTGCTCACACCTGGCCTGGCCTCACTGTGAACTCGGCATCACAGCCTCAGACCACAGTCAGTACCATGAACACCGGCACAGTCACAGTCAGTACTGAGTGGCATGATCCCACAGGGAAGGGGTTGTTGTACATTTGAGTTGTAATACATGTACATGACCCCTCAAACTCAAAAAGGAGAAAAATAGCGAGTGAATTACGGATGAACAGAGCAGGGGTAGATTCAGATTCAGTCGGTAAAAGCACGGACCAAGAACCGATCGCTAATCATAGCAGGGAGAGGGAGAGGGAGAGGGAGTGAGGAACCAATGCCTTTTCAGAAAGACAGAAAAGCTCAACGCAATCTCTTCGGAGACATCCGATAAAATATGAAAAGCTCAACGCACGCACTAGCAAAAGCAAGAGTGATCCAGCCATCCAGAACAGCTCCAAGCCCTGGACCTGGAGCCACGCCACGGCCCACGGCCCACGGCCCACGGCACAACGTTTCAGACTTTTGAGCAAGACAAGATAGCAGCATGTTCATCCATGTTTCAGAGTTCCACTCAAAAAAAAAAAATCCATGTTTCAGAGTAGGAGATAGACAGATTCAGAGCAGAGGAGACAGGGCAGGTGGGTAGAGATCACATTATTTCAGTAGGATTCTAAGAGTTTCCAGTTCCCAATTTCACAGCTGCAAAATAATCTGATGTATTTTTTTTAGATAATAAGGGAACAAAAAATAATCTGATGTATATATGCCAATGGTATACTTCATTGTATATATATATCGTCCTTGCTTCATGTGCACTGCTATATGAAATTCTGAATGCATCTATGCATGCATGTCTTGTATTTGTCATTCTTCACTGAGTCCACGGCGAAGGCAACCGAAGCATCCCATGCAGCTCGCGTCGGCGACCCGGACCCTCAGAGCTTATCGGCGATCCTGCAGACGGCGTCGGCGACCCTGTCCATGGCGCGGAGGAGAGCTGCCCGTTGCTCCCTGTCGGCGTCCCAGCTGCGCCTGTGCTCCTCCAGCTGCTGCGCCAGCGCCCGGTTGCCCCTCTCCAGGGCCTCGATCACCTGCTTCCCAATGCTGGCCGTCGCCGTCGCCGCCGGCGTGGCCGTCGCGGTGCCCTCTGCCTGATCCGCCACGAACGTCGCGTCGCTGTCCTTGAAGCCGCCGCCGCCGCCTACGCCACCGCCATCCTGCTGCGACGACGTCGAGTTCTTGTCCGACGCCGCCGCGCCCGCCTTCTTCTGGTCACTCTCTGTCACTGCCGTGGCCACACGCGAAACAACTTATCGTGCAGTTCATTGGAACTACGATTAATTTCACAGAACTGCAACTATTTGTGATGTCATAAAACTACAACCTATGTTGATCATTTCACAAACCTCCAAAAATTTCCAACCACAGTAACAAATGACTACAAATTTCAGTCAAAAAAAGTTGTGAAGCCTACTTGTCATTCAGACGTCCTAGTGTAGGAAAAAAACATATCACTCAATTCATTGGATTGCCTGAATACCATCATTTTTTTAATGAATCTCAAAAATATAATGATTTTGTACATTTTGAAACTAGAATTCATATCGACCATTTCATTGGAGCTAAAAAAAATGGTTGTGGCGCCCACTTGTCATCCACATATGAAAAGAGTCCACATCTATTTGGATGATATGTTGACCCACGGTAGCCGGGTCTTATAAAAGTTGTAGTTTGCCGAAATTTGCTTTCTTTTTCATAAAATATCACGTGATAATGGCATAATCTATGTGTAACATTGATGAAACAAATTCCGGCGTACCTGGACCAGAGCATTCGTGTTCAGAAGAGGCAGGAGGGGGCTCGTACTTCCTCACTGCATGCAAACCAAACCAAATATGCGATCAACTGATGCCATGGCACGGCGCACGGCAATCACAGATTCACGTGCGCATACATGCCATTGCCAGTACGAGTGCTGACCTGATATGGGCATGACCATGATGGGTGGCTGCCGGTACACCCCTTCCAGCTCCCCGTCGCCGAAGTCCGGAGGAACCACGGCCGCGGCTGCGTCCTCGCCGTCGCCGACGGACGCGCCGCAGACGAGCGCGTCATACACCTCGCGGTCGAAGGACGAGGGCAGCTGCCTGGCGCGCCGCTGGTCCCCGCGCATGTCCCAGAACGACTCGTGCTGGGCATCGCCGGCAGCGCCGGCGCCGGCGATGGCCTTCCCCTCCCACGCGACGATCTTCTTGAGGTCCCAGGACAGGTTACCCCACCGCTTCCTGCACTGCATGGGCCCGCGCTCCACGCCGTGGCGCCGGCAGTAGGCCGACACCGCCGCCCACTTGGGCCGCGGCCGCACCGCCGGCAGCTGCAGCCCGCGCCGCTCCATGGCGCGCCTCGCCTGGATCAGGACCAGCGTCTCGTGCCGCGTCCACCGCGGCAGCCGCGACCGTGGCGTGGATGCGGCGGCGGCGGCGGCTGCAGCGGCCTCCACCGGCGGTGAGCTCTCGTTGGGAGACATCGTGCGCCGCGCTATGACTATGAGGCCTCTCGCCAAGACGCCAGACCCGGCTGCGATTTATCGGCTGCTTTTTCTTAGCCTTTGAATCGACATCAAAGCTTGCGGTTTTCAGCAGTGAGCATAATTTTACAAGAATTGAATGTGGTACAGCAAATGCAGTCTGGCTTAGTGGTATTACATATCCATCAGATCAGACAATTAGCAAGCAGTTTTTAATTGCTGCCAATTAGCAACGAGTAACAATTAGGAAGGATTAAAACCAGAGATCAAATGAAATGTCACAGCTAACATCCTGGGAGATATGCAAATTACTAAATTAGTGTCATGATCAAATCATGTGAATGAAAGCATGACATATTAACAATTTGACATACACCAGCAGCAACACCAACACCCGAAGCCTTTCCAGCTATTGACAGTACTGAGACATCGAAAATTCATAATTTAAGTCATTAGAGACCATAAGACATCCAAGATGCGATAGAGTCAGTTGTAGTACCTATTTCAACAGGAGAAAATGCTACATAAATCGATAACATTATATTTGTCGCTATTTGACAACTCAGTTGCCATCACAATTTGAAAAAAGGTATCTAGGTAGTCCATGTATCCATTGATTAAAACACACACGATGGCACAAGATTGAAAAAACACAGATCCAAGCCACTGAGGAAACATGTCTAGAGGTTAAGTGTTCCAGGACCAGATGTCCAGAAATATAAGTTAATAATTGGTTGTCTGCAAAATATGCTACCATGGCCAGCATGTCCTCTAATTCCCACAAAATAAGAATGCTCTAATGGAGATTAATTTACTCCTCTTTTGCTATATATCAGAGCATGTCAACTACATAGATACCATGACTGCTTTCCTACAATATAAGTTGTTTCCTCCAAAATCCAAATAGAAACACACTGCAGGTCTAGTAGAGGCGCTTCCGGCAATCTGGAGCACCACAGTGGCAAGGCAGCTTCACAATTTTTCCATCAGGCCCAATAACACTGTCCAAGCGATAACCGTAGTCATAGGATAGCTCCTGAAAAGCACATGGTAGTCAGAAGTTTTCTTTTGGTAGAGTCTACAGTTTTGTTAAGTGAACTCAAACACTTCTCACCTGAAGAGGAAGTATAGTGTCAGCAGCAAAAAGCGTCACTTTTGCCAGTTTAACATCATTGTGTGAGCTCAAGACGCACTGGACGAAAAGGTTCGGTTGGCAACTGTGATTTATAAATCTAGCAAAATTGCCAATAGAACTAGCGTCTATGCAGTACTCAGGTGCAGGTGGTGCATCTGAATCATTCTCAGGATGAAGATTAGGCAGGTGCATTTCAGATCCAGCTCTTTTCTGCAGGACAGAGTACATAGTATGAGTGTCAAGAACAAATGCTCTAAAGGCATCTGATGAAATTTCAGCACACCTAAAATATCTATTACAGCAAGGATTAGTGATATATAGGAGTAGAATTTGGCAATATTTCATGTTACAGTAAATGAGAAAACTTTACCTCCCTTCCATCCAAACCCTTCATGGTTTGAAGACAGTCAATGTCAAAACAATAGTTGTTCTGTGAACCATCCAAATCTTCGGTCCTCCTCAACACCCCCGTGTACTCACAGATAGGAGCCCCAGGGAGGATAGTGTCCCAAGTCCTGACTCCCCAACCTTTTGAAGCTGTCTTAAATACCTGCAAAATTCAGCCTGTTAAGCAAAATATAGCTAGATACAAATGCTAGTAAGAGGTGTCACTCCCAACAGAAGAATTGTGAAAGGGGGCGTATTCTGGAAGCACAAGAAAGAATGTGTTTTCACTGGTGCAACCCATATGTTTCAGTAGTCCTGCAAACAGTAGCTAATGGAAACAGCATTCGGTGTCCACTTGGAGCATATGTGTTCAGGAGGGGAGGGGGTTGACCCCTCCTTTGTACTTTATTCTGTTCTCTTAATGAAACAAAACACAGCTCTCCTATGTTTTTGATAGGGAAAAAATCTAAAATAGATATCTCTTTGAAAGAGAAATACCAACCTCTAAGCGATACTGCAAACCCTGTTGAGATGTTCTGTTTACACAATCATGGTTACAGCTGCAGTTAGCCCCACATTCAAATACAACTGCTTTGGGTTCCACCAACCTATAGAATTAGAGGTAAAAATATGGAAAAACAATAGTTGCAAAATGCATCCTAGTGCTGAAGCATTTAAACGTTGCACTTACCTGCCAATGTTCTTATATGATACATAAGGCAGATCAGAACCATTGCGCTGAGCACATGAACAATTTTTGTTGCTAGCACAATCTCCTTCACAATCACAGCCAATAATACTAGACGGGATCTTGATGTCCTTTGGAATTTGTAGAGACTTCAAGTATGTGAAACCTAAAATGTTGCCAAAGGTGACACTAAGCAATCAGCCACTGATGATTAGTGTATAAATTGAAACAGGAACAGGAATAGAAACTACAAACAACAGTAGAACAGGATGACAAGAAAGCAGATCTGCTAGAAGCAACACGAGAAACATTTGGCACTGAATTTGGGCAGCTTAGTTACTATTATGTTTAAAAAGTTTCACAGAGCACTTCATTGTATTATCTTGTTTGTTGGTACAACTTCCAAATATTCTTATTTTTTACTGAAAACTTCCAAATATTCTTGTTGGGTACCTTGGCTAACTGTTGTTTGTAAACCAAACTGCAAACGGAAGTATTGTTATATTCTACTCCCAACAGTTACAGAATAAGCTATGTTTTGGACATAGACATGATCATCAAAATACAACTTTGACTACTGACTTTTGTTGTGAATAAATTTGTAAAACATAGCAAAAGTATAGTGTTATGAAACTACATTTTGATACAATCTACCTGTATCGGGTCGACACCCAACTCAAAATGTCACTTATTTGAAACTCGCAGAAAAATCAGTGCAAGAAATGTGGAAGGAGGAAGAGCCATTGGATAGTACAAGTTCCAAAAAACTGATTTGCGATATAAACAGCTATAGTGCTATTTGACGTATTCTAGGATGTAGCTGATTCAAAATTTAAAAGTCACACTACACATTTGTTCTAGTTTATTGGAACAATGCAAACAGCCCTGCGACAAAGAAAATATGAAATAGACAATTGATAAACTTGAACATACGAGATGGAGGAACAGGCGGATCATCAACCAAGTTAGTAGCAGGAATTGGAATATTTTCTTGCCCTCCAGAGATGTCGTCACAAACCAGTCTATCAAATTAAAATGTGACATATGATTAGTTTCATTCAAGGAAACATAACCTCTGTATCACTAAGACTAAGATGATAAAAGAATACATGGATGGATGCACCAGTCGTGAAACTACCACAACCATTCATGTTGATAGAGTAGAGTACCGTCTAGTATGACAATCTTTAAAGATATATTTAGTTATTAAGATTTCTATATGGTACAGATCCTTCCTTATCTCTAGTAGATTGGCATGTTTATACAGATACTTGAACTAAAAACTACTACTGTTTCAAAATGCAGGTCAGTTTAGTTTTGGTCTAAGTTAAATCTCTATAACTTTGACCAAGTTTATATAAAATAGTATTAAGATCTAGAATACCAAATAAATAAATTATCACGACGTAATTCATAGTGGATTTAATGAAACTAATTTAATGTTTACATTATGCATTTTTCTATAAACTTGGTCAAAGTTAGAGAAGTTTGACTTAGGACAAAACTAAAACGACTTGCATTTTGGAACCAAGGGAGAATACATACTCGCACTCCAGGCTAAGGCAATACAACCGACAAGTCTTCGAATATTCTATCCTCCGTGTTTAAGCACACACATAATCAATATGAGCTACTTTATTTTAGAACACATAACTTATACGAAAAAAATGAATTCATGAATGGTAAAATAGAAACTTCAGTTCAGCACGCCAAAAAAAAAGAAACTTCAGGTGTTTGGATCATTTACCCAGGTAACTCAGAAATAGTTGTGGGAGCTTCTGCACGAGTAAATCGCACCTGGACACACAGATATGTGATGACACAAACACATGATATTTCCAGTATATACAAAACTGCAAAGTTAAATTTATTCAAGGGAATAAAAATTCCATTTAAAAGGTCAACTGGTCAAGCACAACTAGGTGGCTGTATTAGTAGTACATTATCACAACTCAAAAGCATATTTCTGTTGCAGAAAAAGTGACACAAACATATTTCTAAAAGGAAAAGGCTATCTGCACTAGAACTAGCAAATGTGTTAGTGATTGAATTAGCAAATCTGAGAAGTCTCAAGTTATTTCCACATTTCTTCTCTACCGGTTGACACGATATAGTATAAAATTAGTGAAGTCCACCCATCCAAGCCATAACAAGACAGTAGGTAATATCAGCACAACCAACTCAGTCTATTGTCTTTGTTCAGGTATACCTCAGAAGTCGTCAATGATGGCTGACCCTCGAGCCGCTTCAGTTTAAATTTGAAAACAACATGGCCTTGCACGCCGTTCTGCACCCAGTCATCTACAACCTACAGATTATCCACATGAAATAACAAAAATAGAATTGATCAGATAATGCAATAGAACTAGATACTAGCAAATCTATTTCCAGTGTGTATGTATCTCCATGGGATTGTAGAATAAAAAGCCCAAGCTCCTATAACAAGACGAGAACATATGGTCTACATTATTCATAACAGAAAGAAAACATAAAGACCTTGTAAAGCCCATCGTAGGTGTAGATCTTTCCAGTATAGCTATTCTTTGACAAATGACCTCGAATAACTCGGACAGGATTACCATTGTCCCTGCTATTCTGCAACAGTAAAATAAAATGAGGTTAATAAAATGAGCTTAATTTATATATAAGCTAGAGATCGATTCATTCGAAAGTGTAAGGCATAACATTTGTGATCAATAAGAGAGAGAAAACTGAACCCGTCGAAAAAAGGCCCCGAAAGCTGGCTGCCCAGGACACGCCTGCGGCACGTATATCTCTGTAGACAGTTAC